TAATATTTATTAATTCGCTCTCCTCCTTCGACCTTTCTTCCAATATAGGACAAACTCTTACGTAATACTAATAAATTCTCCGTCGAACTTGCAAAAACCTTATTCGAAATCTTTTATTGTTTTAATCCTTTTTAGGATTAAAATTTATTTTTCTACCGCCTCCTTTACTTTTATTATATTTATAAGATTTTAACTATAACTTCCTTTTTCTTCTACCCTCCTATTCTCTTTTTTTTATTTGGACTTAAATTTTTTAAAGGTAATAGTCCGAACCGATTTACTTGTACTACTACCCTCCCTAATATTCGGCCTTAACCTTAGGTAATAATTATATTTAATTAATCGTTCTATTTCTCTCTCTTTATATTATATTACTAAACCTTATCGGTTTACTACGGAGGGTAAATAGATTAAGCCTCTAATATTGTATTTATATAAGGAGGCGTATAGCTTTTAAGCTAATTCTATTTTTTAAATTCTAATTGGGATAGTAGAGGTTAAAGTCCCTAATAGTAATACTTTAATTTCCCGTTAGGGGCTTAACTTTGAAGAATTCGAGGAGTAGGGATTCTTATTAGTATTCTAATATTCTCTATATTAGGATAGGGGAGTAAATAGAATAAATAATCGTCGGATCCCTTAGGTTTTTGAAAATTATTATAGTCTAATCCCTTCCAATTTAGAAGTTAAAGTCCCTTAAATTCTACTTTTTATTTATATATATTATTACCCTTCCCTATTTTAAATAATCGACTCCGAAATACTTTCCGTCCCTAGGATAGTAAATATCCTTATTTAGATTTCTATCCGGCTTTTAGATCGCTATAATATTATAGGTCTCCTTTTATTCGAATAGAAGCTTCCTTCTCTTATATAATTTCCTTATATTCTACTAGAATATTTTTAATTAGATTATTAATTACCCTAAAATACAGTTCCTATTAGTTCTTTAGTAGAGGATAAGGGTATTATTTTCCTTAGGGGAATTGTAATTATATAAGTACTATTACTACTATATATTCGACTTTTTATACTTTAGGAATGCAAATAATATATATTTATCGGGCTTTATAAGGCTAAGGGTTTCGGGCGGGAGATTGGGCCAATAATTTTTTTTAACCGTCCTTTCTTTACGCCTCCTCTAATTTATTTCTCTAGAATAATAATAATATAGGAATTAGGAAGGGCGTCCGGTAAAATACCTTCGTCTATAATTTTTATTATTAATTCTAATACCTTTCTGGCTAGGTTTTTACGAAGGGGGGCAAATACCCGTAGCTTCTTAATATATACGATAGACGCCTTCGTAATAGCCTTTTAGAGAAGGGGGTACTCTTTATAATTATAAGTAAAATATCCTTTCTTCCTATACAATTTATAGTAGATTAATAACCTATCTTTATTCGAGGGATAATTTATTTTACTAAAGCGATCTCCGTATTTAACTTTATTATAGTAAGCGTAAATATCTTCCTAGTAATACAATCTCGCTATATATCCGATTCCCTAATATTTAAAGTATTATTAAACGTTACTCGAAGTTTAAAACGGTTCGTAAAGGTATACGCCGCCGTCCTAAAGGAAGAGGTTATCCTAAAGGAAGTTTGCTACCTTTGAAGTAGCAACTTCTATTAGGAATAAATTCCTATTTTCTCTATTCCTTTTTTTTTAAGGCCGAACTTTTATAATAGCCGCCTCCTTATTTTTATCCCTCGCCGTATTTATTAATACTTCCAACGTAGTATAATTATCTATATTATTCCAAACTACGCTCCGAATTAGTACATCTACAATACTTATAGTAACGAAGGCCTCCTTACTAAAAACTTCTATAACCTATACCTAGTTTTACTAGTATTAATTGTGTATAGATTTATTGAAAATAATTATATAATTTCTAGACGTTAGTATTCTAATAGCCGTTCTAACTATTAGATTTAGTTTTTTCCGGCCTAGGGTCGCTATTATAACCGTCTTTATATCTTCGTTCGAATAGTTTACAAATTCGGCGGCGATAATTACTCCTTTAATAGTAAATTACTATTCGAAATTAAAAGGAATAAACTTCTTAATAATATTAGTAAATAATTATTAGAGGGTAGTATTAATCTTATTTAGGATGGCTTTTACTATAATATTGGCCTATTATTTCAATATTTTTTAAATACCTTTCTTAATCTCCTTTAAAATATCCTTCTTTAGATTATCGAAATCCTTTTTAGTAATAAATTGGTTGGTTCTAATTTTATTAGCCTTGGGTCGTATAGATTTACTTTTTCTAACGTAAGCTTATGCGAATTCGAAAAGTAATTTTCGAGTTTAATATTAGTCCTCGATCGAAATGATATTATAGTCTATAAATTTATTCGTTCTAGCGATGAATTTCTTTAATATTTTATCGTCTTCTTCCGTTTTATCCGAAGTTTTCGCAGTAAGTATAGCTTTAGGGTCGTTATATATAGAAATTTCTGCGAGCGGGTTATAGATACTATTTTCGAGCCTACGAGTACCGCTATTTATAGCCATCGGTAACGACGATATAACGCCGTCGTTGCGTTCGTCGTAGGATATTGTGAGGGATGTAAACGACCCTTCTGAGTCGATTGCCGTTGTTAGTTTTCGTTTTGAAGCACTCCTCGACCAGAAATCGGCATTTCCGGTTTCGGCGTCATTTTTTTTAATTTTAATTTCGCATTTAATATAGCTATGTTCCTTATAAAGAAAATAATAACCCTCATTAAATAAATAGGTAGTCTCCTTAGTACAATCTAATCTAGAATAATTATTTCCAATACTATTACTAACGGGTTTAAATATAGAAGAATTAAATCCGCTAGAACCTCCAACTCCCTTACTACTATAGTTCCCTTTATTACGAGAAGAGGAGGAAGAAGTAGCCTTAACTTCTTCGGCGATAGTTTCAAATACTTAACCAAAACCGGAATAATTAATGCAATAAAATTCGAAAGAAATAGAAGAATTTCAGTATTTAACACCTATTTACTTCTTATACTCCGTAGGAAGGCATTGAAATAATTCGCACTTCCATTCGGTTTTAAAGCGCTAACACTCGCCAACCATATAAATAAATTTATTTTTAAAAAAATTGAAATTATAATTATCCTTTATTTTCAATTTCGTAAAATTAATGAGAAATTTTTCGTCTTAATTAGGGTTACTATATTTACACTACAAATAGGTTATTAAATTAGAGTAAATAGTAAATTAATTTAAGTAAATCTCACAAAGGTAGGACATTAAATCTTTAAAAGCGCATACGGCTAAACGACTCTTGATATAGAGAAATTTATTATAGTCGGTAGGGTAGTAATTAGCATTGATTTCGAACTTATTTTAAATCAAATTATATTAGGCCTTAAAAGGTATATTATCTTCCTTATTTTAATTATAGAACTTAAACGGGTCGGTCTATTTAATAAAAAAGCGAATACAACGGAGGGGAACCGTTACAATCTTATTATTATTATTATTAACGGGCGGGGTCGTCGTAAAATAGGTAATCGATCGGCGGAGGGGAGCCGCGCCCGGGTTCTTTTTAATATTAGGGAAGACTATTTCCTTTATTACAATAACTATTTTGTTTATAAGTTAGTAGATACCTTTAAAGATACTTAGTTCGGTAATTTTCCTTTCAGGGCTTGAATTTCTTCCTCTTTATTCACTAAATAGTCTTTTAAGGATTACACCATTTAGGGATCGGTATTGAAGGAATTAGTAAAAATTTCTTCTAATTTAGAGACCTAATTATAAACAGTATAGAATTTAATATTCAAAAATGAAGTAACTTATTATAATTGCAATACTTATTCCTTTAAAACTATAACTATAGTAACCTAAAGTTTAAATTCCTAGAACATATCGGCAGAGTTATTAGCGAACAGCTCAAAAAAATTAGCTTCGTCTAGGTAATTTTAGAATAGGAGTTTCGAAGTAGGTAGTAAAGCGCAATAAGGGACGTAGAAGATAGTATTGTAAATAAAGAATTTAATAAACTCCTCTATCTTATTCCTTCAGTCTTTAATAAAGTTCTTTAAATTAAAAGTAGTACTATATTTATTAATCTCGCTACTAATATACTAATTAAATAAATCGAATAATAGCTAGAGTTCTTCCTCGTCGTCTTTAATCTTAGCTAGGGCATCGGCCAATACTTTTAAAAAGGATTTAAGTTAGTTATAGAAATATAGTAAGGTCTTCCTTCGAAAAAGGGTAGATTTACTACGAAATTTCCCCTTAAAGGGGTAGAAACTATTGAGAAGCTCCTCGTTGAAACGTATAAAGGATTTCGCATTTTCCTTAATAATAGAATCAATGTACTAGGGTTTGGGAGTAGTCTTTTTGTCGGCAATAATTTTCTTCTTTTTATCGACGTTAGGCTTAATAATAACCTATTCCATCTCTTCCGACGATTCGGCCTCCACCTCGCTGTTAATATTTCCTTCTTAGAAGCTCTCGTCGACTTCGGAATTTCCTTCTTCAAAGAGATCATTAGCAATATAATCGTCTTTAGGGTAGTTCCTAACTAGGCCTTCCATTCTAACGCTAGTACTACTATATGTATGTGGGGGTACTATAATATCTATCGTAATTATTGTAGATTACAATTCCTTAAATTATAATAATTAGTTCAATTATCAATTTCGGTTCCTATTTCGGATCGTTTAGGATTTGACTTTCCTAGGTATAAATTAGAGTAACCTAAAATAATACAAGGGTATAAAATAGGGAAATCGAAGGTAGGGCTAAAATACTATTTATAATAGAAGATTTTAAATAAGGAGAAGAAGAAGAAGAAAACTAAGTATAAGCATTGTAAACCCAAATAAATACCCTAATATATAAGCAATAGCAGGACCTATATACGGGTTATTAATAATTAATCCCTTTACTCGTATCCCCCTTCACCTATATAACAAACAAGAGCTAACACCTTTAATGGGCCTAGTGCCTGTCTGGGCCAGCCTTAGCGCGATCCGTCCATGTCACTCATTCCTCCAACCTTCGTAGCACCTTCCGGCACTTCGCGACACCGGTCCTTCCATGGGGGTATGGCGGGTATGGCGGCATGGCTGGACCGGCGCCGTCACAAATTCGGTAATTCTTAGGGATAAATTATTGAGTTTTGCTAGCGGCGATAGCTGCTATATTATAATTAACTTTAACGGTAGTAAGGTAGTATACGGGTATTGTACGTTTTATTAAACGTCCCTCTACTGTGCCGTGGAAATTATTCGGTAATTTGACTAAGTTTTAAATAATATTGCTATTATTATCTTTTGCCCGTTGAATATTATATTTAAAGTTTAGTAGCTTGGCTATAGAGCAATAAGGTTTGCCTTCACTTACTTCTGAGTGTAATACTTGTATATTAGACCTAGAGGATTAACTTCCCTGTCTTGGCTGTACTTGAGTAGATTGTTAATTTGTAGGGTCTGACTGGTTTATTGTAGGGCCCGAATTCGAGATTGGAGGGTCCGAATTCGAGGTTTGTTACTCCGAATTCGTCTTTGGTTGAAATTGCAATTTACTAATTCGCAATACTAGCGATAGGGTATATCATTGCGTACGAGAAGGGTTCGGTGTGCCTATCGGTAGTAGTCGAACGGTTGAAGCGGGTTATTGAAGAGTATTAGGCAGCAGGGTACTTAGAGTAGTATATATAATTAATTTATTAGAATCGTAGTAATTACGGTTGTATTAATCGCGGGGTATAGGGTCTTCTTTGTTAAGATTTTCAAAATTAAGAAGATTATTATTATATTCAATTGTCTCTCTAATTAGTAAATTGAAAAGTTAATATTAGAATAGATTTAGTAATAAGGGCGTTAGAGATAGAGTTGTCTTTGTCGTCGTTGAGGATTCTAGTACTAGAGTCAGGGTCGGTATTAAAGATACTAGTACTGTATTGACTGGAGTATTCGGGGGAATTATTGTAGTTGTTGGAGTAGTTGAGGTGATTTGAGCAGTCGCGGTAATTGGATTTCCTGGCGCTAGAGTAACTTCTAGCGAGAGTAGTAGTATAATTATTGTCTCTTATATCTTTTTAATTTTATATTAGGGTAATTTATGTTTTTGTAAATATGGCTGTGGAATTGTACTATCTACTTTAACCTAAATCTAGTAACCGCTATTTACAACTTTGTTAATTTTATTTATTATCTAGTCTAAAAAGATAATCTAGTTTTTAATAACGTTGTTGTAATTATTATAGACTAGATCCTTATAATTAACTAGGTCTTCTTTAAGAAAGGTTACTATATTGGCTCTAACGATCTCACTAGTATAGGGATTGCAAATGAATATAGTACGGTTGTAAATATCGTTAGAGCTAATAAAATAACCCTTCTGTACTCTAGTACGAAATTTATCGCCTTGTAGTCTCTTTTTTGGCTTAATAAAATAATAAACCCTATAGAAATAAGACTTTAAGTACTTAAGATACGGCTGTTTGATTTTGTTTGGGAAATTGGCCGCCTTAGCGAGTAATTCCTATAGGCTCTTACCTCCAACGTTAATTTTAGAAGGGAGAAGGTTGAGTACTCTAACGATATAATTAGCTATAAAAGGCTATAAATGCTCTAGGATATTCAGATCTATTATTAAAGCCCTAGTACATTGTATAATAATAGTACTAAATCACTCGATCTTTCTTTGTATCTATAGGGTATAGGGTATTAACTTTAAGAGCTCTACGCCTTCTATATGTACTTATTCAACGATTTTACTATATTGAAATTCTTTAGTACTAAAGCCAAACTCTAGACTACCGTTAAAATTAAATGCCCTTATTCTGAGCCTACCGCTTTGAAGCTTAACCCACTTCTTGAACTCTTTGTTTTGTACAAAGGCATCACCCTTATTAACTATAAACCTCGCCCAGTGAAAGCTGGTAACTCGATCGATAAAGTAGATTATATACTTATATCCTTTGTAGCTAATTAAAGTATAGGAAACGACATTAATGCAGATATAAGCTAATGGTTGGAGTTATTACTTTATTAGTTATTTTAGGGATTATATTATAGGCTTTTACTTTAACGTATACTTTACAAAAATAGTCTTGGGTATTACTCAGTTTAATACTGGCCGTTTTATAAGTTTTGAGAATTTAGTCTTTACCTACGTATATAAAGCGACGGTGTATTATCGAGTAGTTAATTGAAGCTATTATAGCGTAGCGAGTATTTTAGGGAAAGTCTTGTTGGGTATATATTAAAAGGACTAGAAGGCCGTTAATCTATTTATACTATACTGTAATTTTACTATATATTAATATCTGGTTGGACTTTGTATCCTAAATTATATTGTTATTAAGAAGACTTCTTATTATTAATAGATTCGCTAGGGTAGAAGGACTATGAATACAATCTTTAATTCTAACCTTAACAATTATATTATTCAAAATAGTTATAGTTAATTCGACGGTACCAATATAGTAGGTATAAGTCGAAGTTCTGTTGCCTACCGTATAAACGGTTAAATAAGGAAGTGGTTGTATATCTATAAACTATTTAAAGTAGTTAAAGATATTATTTATATAATTAAAATTATAAATAATTAAATTTCGAATGTTGTTTGGTTATTAATACTACTTTGGAGTTTATTAGACTTGGGCGAAATTACTGTAGGTATATTGAAGTTGAAGTTGATAATCGATTAATTAACTACTCCAAATATCATTAAGACGCTTAATAGCGTCGGTTAAGGGCTCTAGCAAAAATCTATACTACTACCTATACTAGTTATACCTATAAATATTCTACTTCTATACAATAAAGTAGAGTTAGTAGTAGTAGCGGGAGTGGTTAGGTTAGTAGAAGTATTATTAGCGAGGGTATTGTAAGGGATCTGCGAGGTATGCACGCAGGTAGGCCTTGAAAAGAGTTTGAAATAACCGATATAGAGGAAGAGGGAAGTCTGTGCCAGTAAGGCACAGAGCTTCCAGCTAAATACACGAAAAGCGTAGTCATCGAAGGTGCTAGAAATGCCAAGGCCAGAAATATAGCCCGTGCGGCTCCCGAGGGATGCACCCAATGGCACGCAGTGCATCCGGCGCCAAGACGGCTGCCGACAGCCGATTGGCCAGTGCACCCAACCAGAAGGTATGCCTGGCTTACATGAGTGCCAGCCAGGCAAACACCCCTGGGCGCCAGCCCCGTGACAGGTATTAGTACAAGTATTAGCGGCGGCGGCAGCGGCTTTCTTAATTAATATTTCTTTTTTAGGCCTCTAAATATCGGGCGCCTTCTCGGGGTAGCAGACTTAATAGGCGTCTGCCGCTTTATTAATATAGTGGCTATAGGATACGTACTTTTAATTGGTATAGATCTTCTTAGTGTAATTAGTATAGTCGATTCTCTTGTTATCCTTTTTTTTGTCGGCCGAGCTACTATTATTATTGTTCTTCTTAGTATTGTTGCTGTTGTTGGTTGATTTCTAGATATTAATATTAATACTAGTACGGGACTCTACATTGCTAATATTACTAAATTTAACTAAGAAGGAACCGGTATTAAGGTCGCCGTCTTTTAAAGCAGTTGCCTAATATTTAGTATTAATGGGGTAAGTATCCTTTATAGTATTATAAAGGAAGGTAACTTCAAAGTCTTTATTAACTTTGAATTTAGTATCTTTAATATATTTATAGAATAAGGTATAATAGGTAAGGAAAGAAGCTATAGTATTGAAGTTAGTGTATTTAATAGTTAAATATTTAATAAGAATTTTACTACAAACTTCGTTAATAATACAGGCGATATAAAATTAAATAAAATTATACGTAACCTTAGGATTTCTACCGGTTCTATCCCATCCGTTGATGTTTAAAATAGTGATAACGGCGGGGTTTTTAAGAGTAGAGAGTAGGATTTTGTTAGTATTAGTACATTTAGTCTATTAGGTATTATACTTTTCGGGTTTTATTGCTTTGTCGGGTTCCTCGATTATTTTAAAAATGTATTCGGCGAATTAAAAGCAATTAAATTCGGCTATAAGTCCCTGATGCTAGTCGGCGATATTCTAGTCACTAAATAGGGGAATTAGCGATAAACTAGTAGTCGTAGTTGGCATAGGAGGGTTCGATATATTGGTGGTAGTTGAATTATTGTTGAAGGTGTCGCGTGTTTGAAAGAGAAGGGGAGTAGGAGTTACTAGACTAACTACTGATTAATTTGATTAATCTAATAGTAGAATCGCTTAGTTCGATAATAAAATTGATAGAATCGATAACTAATTCGATGGACTCGTTGTACAACAATATTAGCGAGAATCTTCATATAGCAGGGAAGCTTACGGGCGATTTGGCGAATCGTCAAACAAACGAAGGTTGCGATGGCTTGTAGACCCGGTGCTGCAGCGCCTTGATGAAGTTGACGATGCGCTTGAAGATGCGATTATAGGGAAGGTTAGAGAGGGCTCATAACCTGTGAGATCACTAACGAAATCAAACGGTTAGATACAATTAATTAAGTACTATAGAGAAGAAGAGAGAGGGAGACTGGCGGAGTCTGGAAGGCTAGATGTGGTGCGGTCTGGGCAGGGCACAGAGTGGGGACTGGGCTGTGCCCAGCCCAGTGAATGCCCGGGACCCACCAACACTTTCTTCTCTTACTCTCTTTATTAAATATAGTATTTCAACTACATACGGTTATTCGCTATGCAATACTCTAGTAGACCCGTTATATTATATTTGACCCTCTTTTTAAATTAATACTATTATTAACTTTTCGTAGGTACGCCCGAAGAATTTCCTCTATCTATAATAATAGTGCTAATAATCCCTTAGTCCTAGGATCTTTAAGAACGCTTATAATAGTTTAGTATTGCCTTTGAGGCTATATTTAGCGAATTCACCGCCTTTAAAACTTCGCTAGCTACCTGGAAGCCGGTCTTCCCTACCTTCAATAAATTTTTAGGGAGTAAAAAGGACTTTGAAATATAGATTTTAAACGTATAAGCTAAATTTTACGTAGATAGTTTCGCTATTAGCGATTTAGAAGTATAATTTTAATATTTGCTTGCTTACTTATTGCCCGCTATTAAGAAACTATTTATCGTTTTCGCCGCTATACTACAATCTCTCTAAAAATTTATTAAGAAGTTTAAACTTATATACGGAAACCCTAATATAGTAAAGAGGGCTAATTAGGAATTATATTAACTATATTAGAGATCCGGCTCTAAGGAATTTATAGCGGCCTTTATTGCCCGCTTTAAAGAGGTATTATACTACGCCTATATAAATTCCTAATTTAATACTACCAAAGTTAATTAATTTATTATTACTTTAAATAACAATTAGAAGTAATATTTATTTAATTAAACTAATATACCTAAATAATATTCCTTACTACTAAATTACCTTCGCCGTTTTAATAGTAATTCTTTTCTCTTCGCTTTATTATCGAAGTACCCGGTTAAAGATAATACTAATAATCCTATAGATACTTCTATTAATTTTACTATTTTAATAAAAATAAAGGGGAATAATAATATATCCTAGAAGTAAAAGAATAAATAGAAGAAAGAAAGTAAATATATTAATTACGGCAGTAAGTCGTATTAATTTAAGAAGTGCCCTTGGACTTTGAAGATAAATATAGTCCGACTATAATTCGGTGAGGGTTTAAACGGTTATAATAGCGATACCGAAGGGGGAGAAAATTCGGACTAAGAATTATTTAAAAATATTAGGGGTAAGGAAGTACTACTACGTTTAAAAGGAGGAACCTCTAATAATTTACTAAATATACTTTCTACTAATTAAATAGGTAATAAATCTACTATATAATACCCCTTACCGCTTAATTGTATTAATAATATTTATTATAAATATATAACCGTTAGAGGGTAGTAAACGTTATATTTTATAAATATAAGGACTTATTAAAGTTACTCCTTAATAAGGGGATTATAAAAATTATAATAGTATAATAGTTCCTATTAATAAGAGAAGTAGAGCGATATAAAGTATTGGGTAATAATTTGAATTCTAATTATTAACCGGGTATAAATTTACAATACAGTAGAAGAAGTTCCTAAATAAATAAGGTCTAAAAATATCCCCTAATTAAATTTTAGTACCTACGGCTATAGGGCGTAATTCTATAAGGGTAACGGCGGGTATATTAATTACCGATTCGGGTAGAGGGTAGGGAATTATACAATATTTATTTAGGAATTTAAATAGAGAGATTTTTCTTTTCTAGTATTATTATTCGTACCTATTTAGTTAGGTAATTTAATAGGGAGCGGTTATAAGGGATTTTAATTATTTCTTCGTATATTTAGTAAAGTATTTTCTAGTATAGTGGAGCGCGCTCCCTAAGGGGGAGTAGGGGGGTAATATTATAGGGTTAGCGCCTAAGATTAAAGACTCGGCTTTACTAAATTTGCTAAAGCGGGTTAACTGTATCGATAAGGATACGAACCTCTTAATTGGTCGGGTCTATATGTTTGCTTAGCCCGTACGCTCAACTATAAAACCTTCTTTCAATTGCACCCTTCTAATATAGTCTTTCTTCTCTTACTCTCCTTATTAAATATAGCATTTCAACCACACACGACTGCTCGCTGTGCAATACTCTGGCAGACCCATTATAATAAGTTCGAAAGGTTAGAATATAGTACGTCTAATTCACTCTAATTATAGTATCGTCCAAACCCTTCGTCCTCCAATAGTCTTAACTCATATCCTTATTTTTTTAGTACGGGCTTCCTTTCTAGTCTAAATAATTCTTCGAATTTATTTACATAGGCTAATAGGGACGGGGTTTCCATTATTATAGCCTAACTTCCCCTAAGGGCTTTCGTAATATTAGCTATCCAACTAAGGAGATTTCCATTCCTAAATTCCTCGTCGGGTTCATCTTCAACTTCGGATTTATCTCCACAACTATATTCCTCCTTAAGTCCCTAATTAAAATCTTTAATATTTCCAGGATTTATTAGGAGCACTACTATTTCTAGCGGTTAGTTTATATATATCCCTATATATTTAATATTTTATATTACTCTATTAAACACCCAATCAATATCTAGATTGTAGAACTATAACTACAACCATCCTAAAATAATAGGGTAATCTTCTACCAAATTCACTATAAAAAATCTAATTATTTCTTTATAATTATTAATACGCATTGTAGCTTCTACGTACTAATTTACCTATTCTTTAAAAATACTGTCTACTAAATATAGTAGTCTTAGTTTTTCTAATAGTTTAAATTTTAAATATACTTTTTCGGCAAATAATTGATTAATAAATATTTTTCCCGAATATCCCAAATCTACTAGCGATACGCATTCTACTTCATTATTATACTAAAAATACTAAAAATTATGTAGAAAGAAGGGTTGTATTCTATTTATAGAATTCTAAACTATTCAATTTAAATAACTCTATCCTCCAATAATTAAGAGCGTGAATATTCAATCTATTTATCCCTATCTTTCCTCTTTATACTCCTAAATACCCCAGGGCGCGATATAACCCTAAGGTTTACTATTTCCTTACTAAGCAAGTACAACGGGAGTTTGAACCGGAATTGAAACTAGGGCCGCTAGAACCGTCTAAGCCGGGTTGGCTGTATCCGCTATAGCGCAATTAATAATAAATACTCCCGTACTAGACATCTAACGTATAGTAATACCTAAGCCTAAACAATTAAATTATTTACCTCTAATACTATAATTAATATTACTCCTACAATCCTTAGCTAAATACCTTCCCTTTCCGTAATTTATATAATTACCCTTATTGTAGCGCTCCTATAGAACATCTTTATAAATCTCTATAAATTTCATATAATTAATATCTATAGAATTAAGGTCCTTCTACTTATTATTATTACTACTACTATTCCTACTGCTAGTATTATTATTCTCTATTATCTAAAAATTATTATTATAGAGCAAGGCTCTAATGTACATTTTGGAAATGCCGCAGAATAGGGTCGACTATCCTTTCCAATCTTTGTACTCTAATTAAATATAATAGTAAAAGACTAAATTAATTAGGGATTTAAATACCTTCTAATATAGGAGGCGGACCTTAGTAACCGCATTGTAATTGCAACAATCTATTAATAACAAAAATCTAGCCTCAAAGTCCTTATAATTAGCGTATTTACTAATCTATTTAAAGTTCAACAACTCTTTCTCTATAATAGCCACAAAGTCTCCCTACTTATAACGCTTATTTAAGTAATTAAAAAACTCCTCGCCTATCTTCTATTTCCAATAGACTAAATAGTAAGGGTTATCCAAAATAAACTAATAATATTCGCTAATACTAACCTTAGCCTCGCCGCTCAAATAAAATATAGTATAGAAGAATTTAAATAGCTCGTTAAGGAATTTGTATTTATCTATTAACTAATAGTTACAAATAATTAATTCCTAAGCTTTATAAGTGTTATTGCGTTTAATTATATCTATCTCCTCGCTGTTAAAATATTTAGGATCCTTAGGAAGTGCTCTTTAATAATAATTACCCGAGGGATTAGGGGGAGGGAAAGAAGCGCCACCGCTAAAGCCTCTAAATCCACCGGGGCCTCCAAATCCGCCGGGAAAGTTACCGCCGCCAGGGAAACTACCGCCGCTAGGACCTCTAAATCTATTAAAGACTCCTCTACCGCCGCCGGGACTTCTAAATCCGCTAGAGAATCCTCTACCACCACCGGGACCTCCAAGTCCGCCAAGGAATCCTCCTCTTCCAAAACCGCCGCCTTTACCCGGGAAACCTGTACTCAATCCTCTAGGGCTACTATCGCTAAAACTGCCGCCTACACCCGGGAAACCTATACCCAATCCTCTAAAGCCGCTATCGCTAAGACTGCCGCCTATACTACCGGAGCCGAAGCCAATCCCCTTACCTAATCCTCCAGGGCTACTGTTACTAGGAACGCTATTACCTAGTTCATAGGGAACTTCTTTATATTATCCTCGACCGTAACCTAAAATTTATTCTTTACCTCGGCTTCCTTCAAATTACTTTTAATAATATAAATAATCTTTCCTATTAAGTAAAGATCTTCATAGAGGGTTTTATTCTCCTTTTATACTTTAATTAGCTCCTCTTATATAATTTTAACTACAATACGGACGTTATTATATTCCTTTCTAACTTTGTTAAATATAGTATTAACTATATCCAATAAATAGAGGATATTCTAATAATTAATCTCTTCATTTATAATAATTTTAATTATATTACTTTTATAAGTAGCCTTCTCTTTCTCGGCGATTGCTAATTTATATTCTAAGAAAGTATTATCCTTAAGGACTTAGTTATATTAGTTTTATAAAACCTTCAACTAATTTACTAACTACTTTTTACTATTCTCGAGCTAATTGATACAATTATTGATTAGCCCTATCTCCTAACCGGTCTTCTTAATATAAGCCTCGGTATTACGCTCGTAGTCTCTAAATTTGTCTTATTCGACTATAACATTTTCATCGAGCAGCTTAATCTTCTTATCGAAATAGTATAAAAGTTTTATAATTTCCTTATATCCTCTAACTTATTCTACGAAATTAAGTAAAACTCGAAGGCTAATATTAGAGTTGTTGCTATAGATTAAAAACAGTATATTAAAGCCTTCGAGTAATAAAAGGAAAATTATAGTAAAATTGATTTAACTATTTTAATTTTAAATGCCAGACATTTTATCTAGGTACACAACTAAATTAAGAATTTATCAATAATTGGAATAAAGAAAGAGATATTCCTTAATATATTATATAATATAATAATTACGCCCTCGTTATTCTAAGTACTTACTTACTATTCTAGGATCGATATTAATTATTGATATTAATATTTAAAGCCCTCGGCTCGATGTTAGTAATGATATAATTCGCTAAAGAGTACATTTTACGTAAACTAAATTACCGTATTAACCTTTACTAAGCTTAGTTCGACCGAAATCACTTATTGCGCTTTAACGCGAAGGTTGGTATAACAAAGTATTACGGGGCGCGAGCAAGCACTAAGGTAAAACTTTAATTATTGTACGAAGAATAGGAAGAGAATCCTATATGCGCACGAGAACTATATAGGGCACGCCGTGTGGGTCCAGTACACGGACCCAGCACGTGTGCACGTGACTGCTGTACTATACTTAGGCAGCTGTACAGCTGATTGTACTAATGCAGTGCAGCACCCTCTATCTATATATAGGAACATGGCAGTAATGCCTGTAACAGACCTTCTACATTATAGCCAAAGTAAAAGTAGTTTACTAAATTGAATATAGTATAGGTATTCTATAAAATTCGTATAATTGAAGGAGAGGAAGGGAAGATAGCCTTTTGAACGTAGTACAACCTATTTAGATAGTTTGTAATACTATTCGGGCTATTAAGAGTTTTAGTAACTTTCTAATAGTATATTAATAGTATTTTCGGTGATTACCTTAGTCATTTCGCTTTAATTTATTTAAATAATGTACTAATTTTCTTATTAGGGTCGAAGAAAAATTACTTAGTGAAGGTTTGTAAAGTAATAGAATGTTTAGCTGTAGTTAAGCTCTATTTGGATTCTAAAAAGTGCGAATTCGTTATTAAGAATGTAGAATACTATTGTTTTAGTATTATTATAAGTGTAGGTATTTAGGTGGACCCTGAAAAGATTAAAGTGATTGTAGACTAGGAAGTTTTAATGTTACAAAAGGGAGTAAGGAACTTCCTTAATTTTGTTAACTACTACTATATATTTATTAAAGATTTCTCCTTTGTAATAAGACTATTAACTATGTTTATAAGAAAGGGGGTCCCCTTTAAATAGACTATTAAATATAATTTTATTTATCTAATAGTTAAAGATGTTTTTTATAGAAGTCCCTATCCTTATACAATAGGATCCTAATTTACTTACGTTCTTAAAAGCTAATTATAATAGTTATAAGTTCGGTATTATCTTTATATAGGAGAATAATAGTAAGAAAACTACGGTTGTATATTACTTTTAAAAGTTTACCCTTGTAAAACACAATTATTTTATTTATAATAAAGAGATATTAGTAATTGTACGGTATTTAGAGGAGTAGTTAGTAAAATTTGAAAATCATAAGAAATTCGTTATTGTTACTAACTACTGGAACTTGAAATATTTTATAGAGAAGTAAAAATTCTTTAAATGTTAAGTATATTAGGTTAAATTTCTTTCGAAGTTCAATTTTAAAATCCAATACCGCCCGGGCAAATTTACCGTAGTACCGAATACTCTATTCTGGTAGGATTAGGATAAGCCTAACGGAAAAGATGTAAAAGTGAAGGAGATATAGTTAATTCATTACAAGGCTCTTAAGAATTATATTTATATAGTAGTTTTTTTAATGATTGTAAGGGAGGGTGTAAAAGTATTTAAGAATTTGGATTTGTAATAATTCTACGAAAAGATAGCCTAGTAAAATACAATCTATTAAAGTATTTTCCAAATAATTGCTAATAGCGACCGAAGCCTTCGTACTGTAGTTTAAGGTTTAAAAGTATAATTAAGAGAATATTTAGTCGATAGTTTAGGGAGGTTATATTATTAAAGTTACGTTTAAATCCTTGGAACTCTAATTATTATTAAAGTAATTACCCTCTATATATCTTTAAAGGATTTAAAGAAGAATATTATATATATATACGCTATTTAAGGGATATACGATTCGATTGTTCTCGGCTACCCTAGGAGAGAAGGAATAATATATGCTATTAATAGAGATTTTTACTGGCCGTTAATAGGTATTTATATTCGTTGGTTTATAAGGAACTACTATACTTGCGGGAGGGTAAAGTATTAAAAAAAATAGAAGAAAGGATTATTTAAATTACTACCGATCCTAAATTAGTTCTTTAAAAATATTTAGATAGATTTTATTACCAACCTCCTACCTTTAGGAAGCTACGTAAACCTCTTGGTTATTAAGGACCGGTTTAATAAAGTAATAATTTTAGAGTTTATATTTACTATAGAAGTAGGAGCGATCGTTAAAACTTTCCTATAATATTTTATATATTATTATAATTAGCCCCGGTCTATTGTTAGTAATAGAGGTTTTAATTAAATTAGTAATTTTTAAAAATACTTTCATAACTTCCTTAGAATAAAGTGGTAATTAAGTACGGCCTTCTATCTGTAAACCGATAGTAAGTTAGAGTATATAAATTAAGAGGTGTAAGTATTTTCAAGAATTTTTGTAAATTACGTATAGAATAATTAGGAGCGCTAATACCCCGCTATACAATTAATAATTAATAATAGAATTAGTACCGTAATTAGAATATTTCCGTTCTTCGCTACTTATAATTACTATCTGTAATCTCCTATAAGTATTATAGCCTAACCTATAGAAGCCGAATTTACCGACCTATAGAAGAGAGTTAAAAGTTTTGTTATATAATTATAGTAAATTATAGATTTTTACTAAATAATAATAACTATTCTAATATAGGGTTAGGAATACTTTACAAACTATAAAAACTAACCGGCCGAAGTCTTTAAAGAGGAGAATAAAGTATAATTGAACATTGAAAATTTTAGAATTGAACGCTCTAAAAAGGAATTAGATTAGGTCTACGCTAAATATATAATTTCAAGAGTTTTTAACCTATACATTATAGAATTTACTAATTTTACTATTAAAGTCTTTAATAAATTCTATATAGATTTTCTATAATATACTTAAAATAATCCCCTACTAGCGTAAGTTATTACTAACCCCCAACCCCTAATTATTATAATCGATAATAAAAAAGAATATTTTATAGAGAAAATTTTATATTACTAAACGAAGAAAGGGTATAGAAAAGTATTAATAAAGTAGGTAGGATAGGTAGAATAAACGTAGGAACTTTTATAAATAATAATTAACGCTATAATATTAAATTCTTTTAAAGTTAAATATAGCCTAGCTATTACCAACGATAGTCTAGCTGAATATTTTATTATTAAATATAAAAAATAATAGTATTGACTATAAAAAGGAAAGAAGGGAGCGATATTAATTCTAAACTTTTCTACTTTTTTTTTAAATCTTTCTCTTACAATCATCTCCTACTTTTATTATATCTATCCTTACTTCTAAAACCGCTACCCAATTTTAAATTGTATATAGTTTGTAAGGAAGGGGCGCCGTTAATAGAAGGGAGGGGGGGAGGGGGGAAGCCGCCTTAATATAATATAAATATTCGTAATTAATAAAAAAAAAAGAAAAATTAATATTAAGGTTCTAAAGTAAGTAGAAAAATAGAGAGAAAGGGGTAGGAGTGATATACTGGTCGATAAATCCCTTCTTATATAATTTAATAATATTTCTTTAAATAATTATATTTGAATTGAAATTCTCCTTTATTATTATTTTAATTATAGCGCTAATTGCTGCCCCCTAAATAATAGTCGTACGTAAAGTTATAGGCAATTGTAAGGGATCTACGAGGTATACACGCAGGTAGGCCTTGAAAAGAGCTTGAAATAACCGACAAAGAGGAGGAGGTTCTGTGCCAGTATGGCTGGCACAGAGCCGACAGCTAAATACACGAAAAGCGTGGGCATCGAAGGTGCTAGAAATGCCAAGGCTAGAAATGTGGCCCGTGCGGCTCCCGAGGGCTGCACCCAATGGCACGCAGTGCATCCGGCGCCAAGACGGCTGCCGACAGCCGACTGGCTAGTGCACCCAATTAGAAGGCATGCCTAGCTTACACGGGTGCCAGCCAGGCAAACACCCCTGGGCGCCAGCCCCGTAACAGCAATACCCGGTCGTACTATTTACTATTATTGTAATAACTAGTATATATAATATAATTAGGTAGTATAAAATAAGTCGCTCTATATTTAAATAAATAATATAAAGTATAGTTGATTCTTTATACTCCGACTATAGTGTCACAGGCATTACTGCTATGTTTTTGTATATAGATAGAAGGTGCTGCACTGTATTGGTGCAGTCAGCTGTACAGCTGCTTGAGTGCAGTATAGCAGTTACGTACACACGTGCTGGGTCTGTGTACTGGACCTATACAGCGTGCCCTATATAGTTCTCGTGCGCGTACAAAATTCTCTTCCTGTTCCTCGCACAACAATTAAAGTCTTACCTTAGTATTTACTCGCGCCCCGTAATACTTTATTATGCCTAACCTTCGTATTAAAATACAGTAAATAATTTTAGTTAAATTAAGTTTAGTAGAGGCTAATATAGCAAATCGGTTCTCGTGAAATTTACTCTTTAGCGAATTGTATAATCGCTAATAGTGAGTCGGAGCTTCCAATAATATTAACGTCGATTTTAGCGACTATAGTATTGACCCTAAAATAGTAAGTAAATATTTAGAACAATAAGGGCGTAATTATTATATTGTATAATATAGTAAAAGAATATCTCTTTTTTTATTTAATTATTAATAAGTTATTAATCTAATCGTTTGTTCAGGCGAGATGTTTAATAACTAAGATTATAATAGCGATGGTTAAATCGACCTTACTACGGTTTTTCCTTCCTTATTCGAAGGTTATAATGCGTTGTTCGCTGTTTGTAGCAATAATTCTAATATTGGCCTTCAGGTTTCACCCAACTTCGCAATATAGGCTAGGAATTACAAGGAAGTTATAAAGCTTCTATACTATTTCAATAAGAAAATTAAATTGCTTAATGAGAATAATACTATTAAATGGGAAGAGTTTAGAGACTTTAAGCGCGACGCCGAGGCCTACATTAAAAAAACTGGCTAAGAGATAGGATAGATAATTAGCCGGGTCGATAAATTAGAGAAGACTAAGAATTAATTCGTCGATTAGTTGAAGGTTCTTTAGAATTAGTATAATTAGGTCCTTAAGAATAATATTACCCTAGAGTATAAGCTAGTAACCGTTGAGAAGGAGAAGGCGGCCTATGAGAGTAATATAGTTAAAATTATCGCAGGTAAGGAAACCGACTATTAAAATATCCTTAACTTATTAGAAATGGTTAATACTATATCCAATAAAGCTAGGAAGGAGTATACCAACGTCCTTATTATAATTAAAATCATACAAAAGGAATTAACTAAAATACAAAAGAAGAACGAAACCTTCTGTAAAGATCTTCGCCTCATCAAAGAAACTATTTTTATTATTAAAAATAATTTAGTAGAGGCCCAGAAGGGAACTAAAAATAAATTTTAGGCTACGGTCGAAGACGATATAGAGAGGAGATTCTTCGTAAGGTAAGCAGCGTTCTTAGTAATAGTAGCCTTAGAGGATTGGGTATAGGTTTCTTTAATATAAACGGTAGTTTTAGCGATAGTAGCCTTAGAAAATTAGGTAAGGGAACTGGCTTTAATTCTAATAGTATAAGTAGTAGTCCTAGTAATGGCGGCCCTAGAGGATCGAGTATAGGTTTCCCTAATATAGGCGGCGGTCTTAGAAATAGAAGATTCCCCGGTAATTTTAAAAGCCCCAGTAGTAGTAGAGAATTCTCTAGTAAATTTAGAAGTTCTAGTAGTGGCGGAGGATTCCCTAGTGGACTTAGAGGTCCCGGTGGTGGAGGCCCCGGTAAACCCGGAAGTCTTAGCGACGCCCCTTTCCAACCTAACCCCTTGGGCAATTACTACTATAAAGCGCTTTATAAGGATTCCGAGTATTTTAATAGCGAGGAAATAAATACAATTAAGTACTATAATACTTATAGCGCCTAGAATTCAATTATCTATAATCGCTAACTAATAGATAAATATAAATTCCCTAACGAACTATCTAAACTTCTTTATACTATAATCTACTTTAACGGCGAAGTTAAAGTTAGTATTAGCGACTATTATTAGTTTATCTTAGATAACCCATACTATTCAATCTATTAGAAGTAGAAGACGGTCGAGGAGTTCTTGGCCTATTTAAATAAATATTATAAGTAGGGAGATTTGGTAGCTATTATAGAGAAAGAACTATTGAATTTTGAATAAATTAGAAAATATTCGAACTATAAGGACTTCGAAGTCCGGTTCGTTTCGTTAGCGGATTATTGCAATTACAACGTAATTACCAAAATTCGCCTTCTATACTAGAAAATATTTAAATCCCTAGTAAATTTAATCTTATATTACTCTATCCAACCCGAACGTAACAATTGGAAGGAATAGTCGACCCTATTCTATAGTATTACTAAAGCCTATACTAAAGCGTCGCTCTATAATAATAATATTTAGGCTACTATAGGCGGCGGTAATAATAGTAATAATAGTAATAATAGTAGAAATAGTAGTAGTTATGGTAATAACTATAAGTAAAAGGGCCCTAATTTGATAGATATTGATTATGCAAAGTTTATAGAAATCTATAGGGATATCCTTTAGGAGCGTTATAATAAGGGTAATTATATAAATTGTAATAGAGGAAAACATCTAATTAAAGACTATAAAAGTGATACTAATTATAATACTTGGAATAAATAACCCAACCGTTTAGGCATGGGCATTACTACGCACTAGAAATCTAGTACTAGTGTACCTATTACTAATTGTGCAATAGCGGATATAGCTAACCCGGTTCTAGCAATTCTAGTACCCCCGGCCCCGGCCCCATAGCCGTTACAACCCCTATTCAATAGGGAAATAGCGAACCCTAGGGCTAAATTGCGCCCCGGAGTATTCAAGGATATAAAGAAGAGAGATAGGGATAGGGATTAAATTTAATATTTATACTATTAATTATTAGAGGATAGAATTATTTAGATTAAATAGTTTAGAGTTCTATAAATAAAATATAACCCTCCTTTCTATATATTTTTAATATTCCTAGTATAGTAATAAAGTTGAATGTATATCGTTAATTAATTTAGGATATTTAGATAAAGCCTTTATTAACCGGTTATTTATAGAAAGAATATACCTAGAATTCAAAATACTAGAAAAACCGAAACTATTATACTTAGTAAATAGCGCATTCAAAGAATAGGTAGACCAATATATTAAAGCCACCATACGTATTGATAACTACAAAGAAATTATTCGCTTCTTTATAGCCAATCTAATAGTAGACTACCTAATTATTTTAGGATAGCTATAATTGTAGTTTCATAATTTAAATATCAATTGGGTAGCTAATAAAATTATTTAAAACGTAGAATATATAGGGATATATATATACCAACCTTTAGAAGTAGCAATACTCCTAAAAGAAATTCGAGAGATAAAAGAATTTGAAAGGAGCGAAGCCGAATACTACAATTCTAAAAATAAATCCGAGGACGAGTTGGAAGAGGAGGACCTCCCTAATTGAATATCTAATATTATAAATACCCCTAAAGGGAACCGAACTATAATAATGGAATTACCGTCCCTCCTAACTTACGTAAGCGAATTTAAAGAATTATTTAATCTAGAGAGGAAACTTATATTAAAGAAGATTAAAGTACGGATAAAAATTGTTAGTAGAAGAAGAATCTAGATAATACTATAATTAGAGAGAGTTAGGCGTACTATATTCTAACCTTTCGAACCTATAGTTAATATAGCGGTATTAAATTTAATAAACTTTAAAATCGTTAATATAAGGACTTTTATATTTGATACGAGGCTGAGGGAGTCCGTGTAAACTCTACTATATAGGTAGAGCTCGAAGAAGTATAGAAAGAAAAGAAGGAAACTATTTTAATATTAATTCTATTAAAAAATATTTAGAAGGATATTATATAAGGTAGGGGGGAACCTTATAAGTACTACTTTAAGGATACTAAAATTTATAAATTTATTGATTTATATAAGAAAGAAGCTACGGGTAAGAATATTGGCGAATAGGCTTTCCAACTAGGCGAAATACTCTACAATTTTATTAACCGTATTTATAAGTTAGGGATAGAGGGAAATAAAATAAAGCCTACACTATTAATAGAAATCGATAAAATTTATAGTATTATAGAGGATAACGTGCAAAAGTTTATAAAAAAGTCTATAAAGCCAAAGTATACCCTAGAGTAAATAAAAGCCCGGTTTCCTAACGAATATAAGGATCTTTTCTATATTATTAACCCTATAAATACTAAAGTAATCCCCGAGTACTGTTCGTACAATTACAAAATTAAATTGAAGTTAGGAATAGAATCCCTATTATATTCGAAGGTAAGACCGATATTACCCTAGGAATTAAAAATTTTTAAATAATAATTAGATAATAATTTAGTAAAGGGTTTTATCCGGCCGTCAACCTTAAATATAGCCTCTCTAATTTTATTAGTAAAAAAACTAGGAGGAAGTATAAGAATTTGTATTAATTATAGGGGTATTAATAATATTTTTTTAAAGAATGAATACTTATTACTACTAATTAAAGAAATGCTAAATACTATGTACAAGGCTAAGTAGTTTATAAAGGTTAATATTATTATAGCCTTTAACCGATTTTAAATAACCGAAGGGTACGAATAACTAATAATATTTATTATATAGTTTAGCTTCTACGAATTATTAATATACCCGTTCGGGCTATTTAAAGCGTTAACCTCTTTTTAGAATTTTATTAACGATATATTATACGATATCTTTAATATTTGTGTAATAACCTACCTCGATAATATATTTATTTTTTTTAAAAACCTACGAAGACTACGTTAAATATATCCGGGAAAGCCTCCGATAATTAATTAATATAGGCCTACAAATTGATATCAATAAATATAAATTCTATACGAAGAGAATTAAATACCTAGGGCTTATTATTACCCCGGGTAGTATTAAAATAGATCCTGAAAAGGTAAAAGCTGTTACTAAGTAGGAAG